TATATTGTTTTTATGGCTACAGAGTGCCTAATCAATATTTTGAAGAAAGCATTGGTCATTATTCTAAAAAAAATAATGCTAATGGTGCTGAATATAGATGTTGCAGTCTATATTTTATCTCTTATAATCATCTATATGTACTGATGAAGATTTTTTTTTCCTTGTAGGTTTTCATGGTGCACTCACAAGAAGCTAGATTTTTGTGTTCCCACATTGCTTTGGCATTGTAAAGAATCTTTCAATTTTTAAAATTTGTGTGTGACATGATTATCAAGTAGTTAATTGTGAAAATCACTAGAGACCATTTCATTTTATTTTTCATGTTGTGCTAGTTTTTATTGTGTGAAAGAGAGCAATTGAATTTGTTGTGCATCTTTATTCGAAAAAGAGATGTGATTTGTGAATTAATTATGTCTGTCCATTTTAATTCACATTTAAATGGTATTCATCATCAATCATGTGATCTGCTGATTGAATTATTTGCACTATTTTCTACAGGATTAAATCCCTAGTTTCTATGTACAAGAAAAGAAAATTTAAATGGTATTCTAATTCTGTTTTCATTAAAAAATGGAGACAGTATAAGGTTTAATTTAAGCTTTATTGAGTATGATTGTAGTTATTGATTTTTTATTTTAATTTTTATATATTTTACAACTCTAAACAAAAAACTCATTTTAGTTTTGAGTCTTTGCAACATTTTTATTATTATTAGAGAAATAAAAATAAAAATAATTTTACTGCTATTAAACAAATTCATATTTTAGTTGTTACTGTTAAAATTTGTTTTAAACAAATTTTTAATTTTAGTTTTCAATAGTTGGAAAAATGATGAAAATCAAAACTAAAATTCAAATACCGTAACAATACTAAATAGAATCATAATCTTCCATTTTTCTCAAATCAAATATACTCTTTAAATGAAGCATGCATTAATTCAAAATATCATTCTTTTTTTTGGTTTGATAGATTTCTCATATCCCTTTGTTAAACAACTCTCAATTTCACACACAGAGCAAACTACATTTTTCAATATCTATTTACCCTTTTGATTGAGAATTATGAGATTACTAGTGTCAGTGCTCCATACGAGGCTTTTATATTTTTTTCCCTTTTTGATGAATCCGATCGGAGGCTAGCATTTGGGTGTTGTTCGAGCTTGATACTCTTTATATTATATCATAGATGGAGTACCAGGTGGTTTCCCTTGACCATGAGCGTCTCTGAAAAGGGGACATTACAGCCAGTTCAAACAACAGTTTACTCGGATAATAAAGACATGGAATTATGCTGATATTGTTGAGGTTGTGGATGACATGCACACATTACTTCATAGCAAATCATGCTTTCCAAATTGTTTATAGTTCGGGACACAGGACCAGGATGAGACCGAGTTGTAAATGGACATCTAAAAAGAGTGCTGAAGAACCTGAATATTTCCCTTGATCCTTGTTAGTTCTTTCGTAATACTAAGTTTAAATCTAACGGAGTAAGTGTACTAGTCAGTTTCTTTTTCATGTAAATCTAACATAGCAATCTCAGCGCTGTGTTAGGTAAACTACACTTTTCTGATGTAATCTTGATGTATTTGGTTGAATATATATCTGTCAACTAAAACTTCTGTATAAGAATATGAAAAATGAATGAATTATAGAGTGCTCTAAGCGGTTACAAAACTTAGTTGCCATTTCCAGCATTCTCCTCGCATTTTAGGGTCACATCTGTTTGTCTTTTACAAGAAGGATGAGCTTGTTTGGGCTAAAAGAAATGGATTAATAGTATATTTGATTTGAAAAAAGAGAAGGAAAAATAATTATAACCACTTAAATAATTTTGTTAGCTCAACAACTTAATGTAATAAGTGGAAATAAGAACCTTTCTCCCACCCTTTACCACCATTTTCCTCAAACCGAACAATCTATAAAGGAAAATAAAATAATAGTAAGATAAAAGAAATTGGGGAGTGAAGGGTTTTTATTTTTGATAAAAGGATAAATTGGAGGGGAGGGAATAAATTCTAAGATCCATTCAATTTCTTTAAAATTCATTCAATTGCTTAGCAACTTACAATAACGCCCTCGAAGCAAAAATAAGAAAACAACAATTCAAACCTCCTACTGTCATGCATCCAGCCTTGAATTAATTTTCATTTAGTCATATTAGATAACTTAGTCATTTTCAACTGGAATAGCAATATACCTAATAATATCATTTAGTCATTTTCTTGGACTCAAATATTAGCTAGAGTTCAGCATGAAATTTGAAAACAATGGTGAAAACCTCATCATGAAGTCAGCTTTGGCACATTTTACACTAGAAAACTAATAGCATATTAACTTAACACAAATTCAACAAGCTAAAAAATCATCAGAAAACAAAATTAATGATGCATTGTTAAATGTTAAACAAGTATGGAATGGCCAATTCTCAGGCTGAGCACTAAAATGTTTAAGTCAACTCACTTAACTAAAAGAAACCAAATACAAACTGGGGTTACTATTATTTTGAGTTCAACTTGATGAGAGAAGCATGGCTTCTTACAGCCCCACCTTTAACAAAATCCTGTTTGAAAATCATTCCACCAAGCAATTCAAAACTTTCCTAACCTATACCCTCTATTCCACATTTCCACTTTGATAAAACTTGCCTTAAGGTAGTTAGATCTTTTTGAAAATAATGAAATTATCTACAGGTAGTTGAGTGAAGAATATGATAAGAAGCATACATATAATCCAAACATGCATCAATTTGACATGTAAACAAACAAATATGGAATTACAAAAATGAACCAATAATGGCAAGAGACTCATACACAAGTCCATGTGAAAATAAACTTTAAAAAACCATAAACAAAGAGAAAAAGGTACCTGTGACAATCATAATCCCTGGAATACTCCTTAGACCTTGAATGTGACCTGTGGCGACATCTAGAATCATAAGTCCGAGGGCGCTCATAATCCGTACCACATTCTCGATCATTGT